ACAGTTTCATTTTACGATTCAGATAAAACAAATAACGAATCGAATCGAATCGTTCGGTTCGATGAAAATTTTTCACCGTCTTTGCAACAGCCTGATGAATGCAATTTAATCATCCCCGTCTTACCTCATTGTTCGTAGAATCGCAGAGACAGACGTCATTCTCTTTTTCTCTCTTTGCGTCCTCTCGAGATGACGTTATATTCTCTCTTGGAACGGAACAAAGAAAATGTTTCGCTTGGCGTGTGTGTACGTATTGCTCCTAGTCTCATAAAATACGAGATCAAAAAAGAGGATTGCCGTGACTCGTAAGAGGGTCGCTCTAAAAGTATTATCGAAGTATGTATAGCCGTACGGAATAATAAGGATAGAAAGAAGCGAGTGTGCGATGGCAAAACGCCGCACGGTGCCAGAAAGTTAGAGGGTAGAAGTATCGGGAGACGGAACGAGCGGTAATGACGAAAATTTTCTCATGGAAAGAAAAATCTCTCAACAACTTCTTACACTCACTGCGAACTCGCAACTGATTCTTGGAAACTTTTTCACTTCGTACTTGGACGATCCAGTCCGATATTACCAGAAAAAAGTCGATTGATCCTTAACTACAGTTCCGATCTGACTGTCAGAAAACAACTATCCATCTAATCCAAGCAACGTCAATGTAAACTAAAAATAGTATTTATGATTCGCTTCAACAATTAAAATTGTTAATATTGTTAAATCATTCCCGAAGAATATAAATACTATGTGGTTGTAACGTTAATTAATCATTGACGAGTTCAAAAAACGCTATGGAATAATAGTGTAATACAATTGTCTCTCGTTTAAAGAATAATAATACTTCATCGAAGTCACGATGTATGTGACCATAAAATAAACTAGTTTCATCTGTACAGTAAATTTTCCCAATTGCGGTTAAGGATCGTCAAACATCGACCACCGTTAAACAAACGTACAAAGTATTAACTTCAGTATTAATCGAACGTATTTCACGTTCCAAAGTATCCGAGAAACATATCGAAGCGTTACCAAAAAATATTCAATCAACTTCGATAATAATCGTGGAAAATGTTGAACGTTTCTTTCCGGAAAAATATTTTCGCCGATATTGCGCTCATTCGCGAGTTCTCGGGATTCTTAACCGGTACAAAAACGAAGAAAAAGAAAAGAGAAGAATACACTTTTGTGCCATTGTGTAATTTACGCCATAAGAATTGCCATAACATATTTTGTTTTAATGTTCTAGGGATGAGAAGAGGAAGAGATTCGTATCGTTGCAACTCAAAAGACAGCGATGCTTCTTTTTCTTTTCTTTGGTCGTTCTCCCTCGGGAGGCATATTTTATTTTTTACATTGTTTTTAGCAATTAGTGTGCCACACGTCGACTCTGTACGCGTTACTTTTACAGTTTCGGCGAAATGGGAGTTTCATTTAGTTTTTTTTTTTTTTTTTTTTTTTTTTTTAATCTCTCGTTCGAACGTTATTTTTGTACCGGTGTATGCTGGATCGCAAAAGACTGCATGTAAATAACCAGCGCATAGTAATATATTTTATATGTGGTTGGAATTTTGTGATCAATATTCTTTTTCCGAGACTCTAATAATTCTCGTGATAACACCGTGTTTGCTTGCAATACAAGAAAAAGGCTTAGATATTGATCACGAAATGTCCATTTTGTAACGAAAGAAGTTTAAAGCTTATTGATGCGTCTCTCTAAGCGAAAATCCAAATATTTTCTATGAAATGTCGTGAAAAGTTCCAGGTTTTGTTACTTCCCACACTTTTCCGTCACTGTTTTACTATGTCTCGTCTACGTAAATGTCTTGTATTTATTACAACGCTTTGTTTGAAATTTATATTGTGAACATGAAACATTTCTATTAACGGACCGGAAACTATTTTTGTCACAACAATAATTCTATGTAGCGATTTGTTTTAGGAAACTACCGTTTGCCAATGCATCAGGAAATATTTTTAAAAGAGATACGCTATCTTTTCGCAGCGAAAAAATAGATTTTAAATACACTTTAAAAATGTCAATTTCATTATTCGGTGTATGGAGAAATTTGAGATCAGGTAATCGGGTAGAACATACCTATACCTGTATTTTAATACGAATATTTACATTAAAATATAAATATTCCCAATGGTTCACAGGATAAATTATAAACAACGTGCGTTGTCCACGTTTTAACGCAAAGACAGAAAAATTATTTATTCACACTTTTATTATAATTTATTTAGTAATAACCAGCATGACAATAAAAATTCGTATCACATCTTTTTCTAAGAAGCACTCGAAAAAATTATCTCAGAACAGCGTGGGCCCAACTAGAGCATACCACGACATTTCTGTGATATGGGACAATATCATTCCAGTGTACGTAGTGTTTTAAATAATCGTTAGACGATCATTACGCTCAAAGACTTAATCAAAAGATCGATCACGTTGTACATGTTCGTTAGGTATCTTTTTTTAGGTAAACCGATGGAAATTCGATTTTAACTGTTACTATAGTATTACATATTTTCAAAATTTAACCCGCAGGGGATGTCCAGCAGAGTTGCGTGAATTGTTTTTACTCGTCGAGGTCAAATATTCCTGTGAGCGTGAACGTTTTAATAATTCCGAATAAATCGTTTGTTTGCTACTCGATGACGCAGTTCTGCTGGGTAATAGTTTTTTTATTTTAGTATCGCGCGATAGTGTAAGATTAAATTAAGGTTAGCAGTTAAGCGGTTGGCCATCGTGTATCGTTAATACCAGAAGAATAACGTGCCTTATATAAAATAGTACGTATATTTTAGATATCTGACTTTTTGAGAGGATCGACATGAGGTGAGTAATAACTTCGTGTAGAATGGTACAAAAATGCAGAAAAGTCTTGAAGAAACTATTGAAATACTCAGGAAATTCGATGCTGAGATTACGTGGAAATGCAAATGTAAAGATACGACATTCTGTGGAATTCAAACGAAACATAGTTGCGCGGAAGAGAAATGCGATAACTTTAGACGTTTTCTGATCCATCGTGGCACGAAGTTATGAATGGTAAAGCCCCGTTTCGATCGTTCTGCTGAGAGTAACGAAGCATTCGCTTTCTTAATTACCAACTTATATTTTAATACACGCGTGCAAGATGACAAGTATTTTCCGTCTGTTCAGGAACGAGTGTATTTGTTAGGGTCAGTCCTGTCGAGTGGTTCAGTCGTTACCAGGATCCAAATTACTTACAGTGCCAGCTTTTGTAATACGTTTTTTTTTTTTTTTGTTTAGAAAAAGACAGAAAGATATTAATATTTCGTCTAAATATGTTGGTTCGGAGGAGTAGCATAAAGAGATAGACGAAGGAAAAATACTAAATCATATTCGTTACAAGATTAACGTTTTAGTGTGTTTTTTTTTTTTATATATATATTATTGTAATAATATATTGAAAATTTATAACAACGATAAAGCGAAAGAAAATGTTAACCACGCATTAAATTCATAAATTAAATAATAGAGAATGGAATCCATAGGTGTAATTCATTTGCAAGTGATTCAATCCAAGTAAAATTATAAAGTAAACAAATTATTAATAATATCGTTATACAAATTTGTATTTTATGCAAAATTGACAAGGGTAGAGCTTCAAGACAAATACATTATTTATGAAACTCAATTTTCTGACTTTTATGTTTCATTCTAAATGCTTGTAAGTAATTTATTTCGTCACTTTTAACTTGTTATATATTTTCAATCGCAGTTTTGAATACTCAGGAGATACTCTGGCAGGAACCACATACGTTTTGTAGAATAAGCTATTTTAGTGGAAAGTAATTCCTTAATATTGAGAAGGTTGATACCAAATAAAAGAGTAATTAATGCAATAAATTAAGAGGTTTGTATTTTTTTAGCGTACATGAGTATCTTAGTAGCTGGTAAGCGTTCTCCTTTATTCCTTATTTTATAGTTACGATTTTTCAAAGGTCTACTAATTCGAGAATGCTCAGTATTCTCAACCTTGTGCGCTCTCTCTCTCTCTCTCTCTCTCTATCTATCTATCTATCTATCTATCTATCTATCTATCTATCTAGCTAGCTAGCTATCTATCTATCTTCTGTATTATTTTAGTTTTATTAAGTTTCGAATGCGTTGAATAAGTTAAATTATGTTTGGTATTATTGTTCGAATGGAAAATAATTATTAGTATATCTGCGTCAATTTTAACGAAATTTTGTAAGCCCTGTTGGGGCAGGTTCCTGTACTTTGTCAATTGAAATATACGTAACTAAGTATTTATCGCAGTTTTAGTAATTTCAGGTACAACCTACAATATACACATAGCAGTGTAAGACATTAAAAAAGCTCCAGTAGACAACATATTGAGACAGTAACAATAAAATGAGACTGAAACACTCATCTTTTAGAGGACTCTATTATTTATATGCAATAAGAAATAGTTTTGGATTTATTAGTGAGGCATATTCAGCAGATCCTTCTTTAGACAGTCTCCAATTACTCGATAATCTATTAGTCTTGATTTAATTTTAGTTATTATGTAATAAAAACCCCAGATGAAACAATATAAATCATATATTTCCATATATGAGAGCAATAGGTTAGTTAATGGACCTCCAAACGGTATCGCCATCTAGCGGCGGCGACCGAACTAATTTTTGACACACATTTACATTTTTTACTTTTTTCTGCATATTCATATAATTTTACATCGTAATTATCATAATTCAACATTTAATTGTTTATTTGTACACTAATAATTGACCGATATTAAGTATTTTAAATAAATAAATATACCGAAAAATGTGGCGCCATCTCTCGGCGAGCCGCCCAAGTTTGGCGCGAAGTAGTTTCCAGCTTCAGCTGTTAGATGGCGCTACCAAAGACGGAATTGTTCAAAACAAATTCACTACAGACTAATTTATTCATTTAATCAAATGTGTTGTTTAGGAAGGGTAGTAAGGAGTGCAGGAATTCAAAGTCATTTGAAACACATTTCTTTAAGTATAAAAGCATTGGATTTATTTACAACGTAAGCAACAATGCCCTGTTCATTTCTACGCCATTAGAAACTTCCATAATAGCCTGAGAATCACAGCCAAAAAGATTGCTAGAATTGCTGCTAACCTATACTTGGATGGCTTCATTTCCATTGGTAATCCGGACACGGTCCCTTTAGGTAAACATGGTTTCAACGACGATGGAGTACCTTCGTTTATTGGTTCGCCCTTCATAGAGTACTTCGTCGTTTCTACGATCTCCACCTTAATCATTTTCCCCAAATATTCATCTTTCAAGGGCAACAAAACCTGCTCGTAAGATTTATTGTGCCCAACGTAGTGCTTCTTGTCGTGAGATACTTCAGTAACCAGTATGTCTTGGACAAGCCCAATTCTGTTCTGATCGTACGGCGAATAGGACTGAAAGAACTCCGATAATCTTTTCGTTCGTTTCTTCACCTCTTGCGTGGGTACCTTCGGCATTCTGGCAGCGGGTGTGCCAGGTCTAGGAAAGAACTGATTGATAAACAAACTCGGGAATTTGTATTTTTCGCAGAGCTTCATAGTTTCCTCGAAATCGTTCTCTGTCTCTGTAGGGAAGCCGCAAATTATGTCCGTGGCTACAGTCAGTCCTGGAACACGTTCTCGCAAAAAATTAACAACATGTTCAAAATCAGCGCATGTGTACTCTCGTTTCATATCAGCCAACACTTGGTCGCTACCCGACTGTACAGGGATGTGGAGGAAACTATAGACTTTTGGATGTCTCAGAATTTTGCTCATCTCTTCCAGGTGTTCCATAATGTAGGGTGGATTGGTCATTCCTACGCGTATCATACAGCCATCAGGCACCACTTCGACGAGTTTCCATAATAGTTCTGGTAAGCTGGTACCAATGTCTCTGCCATAAGTACCCGTGTCTTCGGATGTTAGCCATAATTCACAGACACCTTCTTCAAAGGCTTGCGTCGCTCTTTCTATGATCTGTTCAGGTAGGTAGCTCCCAAGCTCGCCTCTCGCGTGTTTGGTCTTGCAGTATGTGCATTGGTTCAGGCAACCTGTGTTTATAGCTATGATTTCAATTAAGGGATTCCTCCGTACTTTGGGCAGACTCAGAGAAGCACCACCAATTTTTTTCCCAGCTTCCTTTTTTTGTTGCAGAAATCGTACCGTATTACCCTTTAACGTTTCTTCCACCACTTCCACAACACGGTCGATTTGCTGTACACCGATCATACTCATTCCTTGCAGGAAAGATGACTTTGGAGCCCCTTGTGGTACACATCTGCGATGTAATTTAAGTAAACTTTTATTTCATAAACTACTATATAAAATTATATTTAGAAATTAAAATTGAATCTTACATCAATATGTTTTATATAAAAAGAGTATATCTTGTGTAAAAGAAAAATGTTATATAAAAAGATCACAAAATGTAAGCAAAACTTTATACCCAGCTACTACAACATGTTTCCCTTGTTTCCTTCCTGCCTCAATTTCATTTTTAAAGTGGTCCTCAGCGGGACTCTTTACTGTGCAGGAGTTCAACACCCACAAATCTGCATCGTCCTTCTTTTCTGTTAACTTGTAACCATAGGCTGCAAGTTGACCAGCCATGTATTCACTATCAGAATTGTTGTGCGTACATCCCCAGGTCTTTAGATAAATTTTTTGAGTTCCTGGCACGATGCTATTAAAAATTGGAGGTTGTGGTAGTTCTTCTGTCAATTGTTTACGTTTAGAACGAACAGTAATATTTTTTCTTGTACTATATCGTTCTTTAGGCGTAATGTCTTGCGACGATATTAAATCCTCTATATCGTCAACGATATCCTCACACGGAGCTGGCATTCTAGAAATTAAAGATACATAAGCTACAATAAGTTGGTTGTAGGTTACACTTTTATACTCGATGTTATTTTGTGAGTTTGTAAATTACCTTGTTATATATCGTTTAAGCTACTTTTGTCAACTTCATTCCAGATCCTTATGATCAAGCAAAACAATTAGAAGTAGAGAGAAAAATAGATTGAAAACAAAATTATGAACGATTTTATAGGTTATGTTTTAGAATACCTTGTCACACGTGCTGATCTGCTGATACTGTTTTACCATTAATTTTTAATGCTTTATATTATAGGAACTGTTGTTAAATGGGATTTACTGGATAAAGTAGTTAGGTTATTTATAATGTTTTAACAATAGTAATCTAACGTACAAGTATTTAAATGAGACATATATTTAAAATACATTTTATTTTGTCATTATACATGAATGAAAGAATCGTACAAAATTGCGTACATAAATGCAGTCAAAAGTAACAAAAATTGCTTTTCATAATACACAAATTAATACACAAATTTGGAATTGAATGTATGATATATCTAGAATAAATTCTAACGAAATACGAAAAGAATAGGTAGATAGCAGTAGAATACTATGCATAATAATAATGAATTAGGGGAAAATTAGGACGGAGTGCGCCGGTTGGACTGTGTTTACATTGCCATCCCACTTTTTCTTCTAGATATATTTGGTGACCGCGCGCAAAGCGGTTGGTAAACAGTTGGTAGTCATTGTTCTCTGCGTAGAAGTTTACTTGTTTCGGGCACAGTAGCATCGTTTAAATTCTCGCTAATATTTTAGGTATACGCGCAAATAGATTCAGTGTTTATTGCATGTTTTAATTATTTTTTCGCGTAGAATCACATTTGTTCGCCGGTTACAAACTTCGCTCGCGTTATTAGATTTTTTCTTTCAAGTATATCTTCAAAATTGCTCGTTACCGGTATCAGAGCCAGTGCATCGTTGGAGAGGATTATCGAGCGTTGTTCAACTATTGAAAAATGTAAATATCTATCTAAGCTTTTAATATTTTCAAGTACATATCTTTCTTTTAAAACTGACATCTCTAAAATTGTAACTGCAGAAATTGATCATTGTTTTGCGTTCCCTTACAGATTCTTCACGCGATGCATGCCTAATTTTCTATTTTAAAATTTTAACGAATTAAAAATCGAGTCATTTTTACTAAAAATGAATTGTACAGATTCTCGTAGATTGGATCGTAATTTCATTCGCCATAAATGTATAAACATGCTAATGACACTTAGTAAGGGAAAGTTTTCCCTTAGTAAAGGCGATTCTTCTGGTTAAAAGCATTGCTACCTCGGTAACGCGTCATCTTGGAAATTCACTTATGCATTTACAAGTAGCAGAAACTCATCGCAATTTAGTCTCTCGAAGTTTATTTTCGAACGAGATATCTGGTAATACGTATGAAGATTTTATGCTTGAGGTTAACAAGATAAATAAAACGTGTTTTAGAATTTTGAATTTTGTTGTTTAATAAACATGATTTTAATTAAATACGAGAAATGATATTACTTAAGTGTTCATTTTTATTCATTCAAATATTCTATTATTCAAACGATATAGAATTTATTACTAGTAATATTTAGCAATACCTTGATATCATTGTAATTATATCTGTAATTTATGAATCCAATCGGACCCGATTTATTCTGAAAAATTACAAACTACCGACTCATGATAAAATATTACAAAATTTATAATTCGAACAATCATTAAAAAATTAATTACGAACTAATCATCAGAATGAAATGCTTTCCAATTCCATATTGCGGAAAGAATGTGTAATTTCTGATGTAACAAATGAAATTTGGATGGGTAGGGATGTAAACAGAACGGAGAGGGTCTTTTGTTTAGTTTCAGGTATGAAACGTACCGAACCCATACGAAGGGAAGTGGGGCTTGCGCGGTGGGTCAACCGTCTCCTTGGCTGGTCGCTGTTGAGGTACATGGTACATGGTACATCAGTCACGTGGAGAACTTCCGCGACTACGGTTCGCCTACCTGTTCTCCCCTTCTATCGGGTTAGTGGTTCTTTCGTGTGGTGTTTAGTGCTACCAAGTGATAAGACGACCGAGAGAACAGCTAAACCGTGTCAACGACCAATTTGCCGAGGACTCCGGCAGAGGTATGCAATAATGCAATTTCATTATCATCCTTAAAATGAGATAATATAAATTTATTTTTCAAGAGATAGGAAAGCAAAGAAACGAATAGAAAAATTTAATAAGAGTTGTTGACGACGTTAAACGAGAAAACAATTATATTATCTGATTTTTTAAATAATATCGCGTACGGTCAATTTAGCGTAATAGGTTCCGTTATAATTCTCAATTTTTAATATACGATTTCATTATACTTGTTTACAAATATTTTCTAATTTGATTCAATTAACATCGAATCAACGTTTAAGATTAGATGTATTTAATTTAAATTTTACGAGGACGATAATGTTACAATAAATATACAGAGAATAAGAGTCAAGACCTACAAACAGATCGAGCATTTATTAAATTGTTGATTTTGTTTCGTGGAAATATCGCAAAAACGTATTTTCTAAAATTAACAAATTACAAAGTTGTACGCGGAGTTTTGCAATGGATAGTATGTTCGATAAGAGATGAGTGATACGAAGCAGCGTGAAAAGAAGAGTGACGCGTTAAAGGAGGATTTTACGTTTCCAGGCGTCTGAAAACATTTTTTGTTTTCCTTGCTTTAGGATCTTATATTCGCGGTAGCTCACGAGGTAGTAATCCCTAGAAATGCTGTACTTAAGGAGGGTTTTATGATACTTATTCGGGAATCATACTTTAAGACGTTGCGACGCAGAAAGGGAAACGTTAACGTCAAGGAAAAATCTTTCTGGTGCAGAGACAGAGAGAAAAATGAAAGAAAGCAAGAGATCCCGAAGCGAGTCGGATAGTTTTGATTCAAAGAAAATAATTTCATAAACAAAACAACCATCGAACTTCAACTGTAATTGAGGTTAGCAACATTTCTTTCTTTCTTTTATTTATACAAGTCTCACGTTCGAAGGCGTCAATTTTATATTATCTTCCGAAGAAGATGTGCATCAGTATAGTATTCGCTAATGTTATAAGAAATATATAAGACATATAAGAAATATATAAGACATTTAACAATTCAAAAAAAGAAACGCAAGGTGTATCTTCACCAATATCACAATAAAAGGTTGTATCACAATACATGGTTAATTAAGAAGATTCACGAATTACAGACGAATGGAATAGCACGGGATAGATAGTTTCAATTAAAATGAGAGGAAGTAACGAAAGAATGATCGTCAATGGAAAACACGCCTGTTGAGAATGAATAAGTTCATTTGAACGAGCCACACAAATTGCATTGGAAATCTATTTATATCGCGTTTACGATCTCTTCGACTTTCCACTTTTTGCTGTCCTCTTTTGATCGAAACTTCCGTGGATTACGCGTCGAACGCGAGCCGTTCATCAGCGCCGGTTATAAAGCGGCATCGACACTTCAAAATTTTATCGCCACTGGATAAGAAGATCCTGGTGAATAGAAATAGCGGAACGAAAGCGGAATAAAAACGTTGAAAGAAATTTTAGTTTTGCACGCGACGAACACTGTTCGAGAAAATGATAACAAACATCTTAGCAAATCAATCATACTTATATTAGTTTTCTAAATTAATTTCCTATACAAATAAAACGGTAAAATTGTGAAACACCTTTTGGAAAACGAAATATTTTCGGTAAAATATCAGTATCGATGATTGTGTGTCAATTTGAAAGCAACGTCGTAACAATTACGTATCAGAAACTTAAATATCTATTATCAAATATTTGTTCACTTGTTTAGAATTAATGAATCGAATTACCTTTTTCTTCGATAACTTCCAAAGTGCTTTGGAAGTTTGAGCACGGAAGTGTGCACTTGGCAAACAAGAACTGTGTTTCAACGGTATCGCGTTTAGCTGCTAAAACAATCGAAACGGTGCAATTTGATGAAGCAATAAAAACTTGAAGTGCAGTATTAAAAGACGTCGTTAAAATATTACAACTTTTTCGTCGGTCTCGCTCTTTAATTTAGCGTTAAAAGATACGTAGAAGTAGAATCCGTTTTCAAAAAATTCATCTAGGAAATTACTGGTAGTTGATCTTCATATGCACTTGCACCAACGTTCCTGCCACTTTTGAAAACATTGCTGGAAGCTTTCCAGTAAGAGGCTGTTGAGCTTCTCTTAAGTTGCGTAGCATTACGTTCGCTTTAACTGTGTCAACATCATCAAATCTTCACCCTTTCGGCTTCATTTTGATTCAAGGACGTAAGAAAATGTCGCAGGGCTTCAGATTCACGAATTTAAATAGAGAAAAAAAAAACGATGTGTTGAGGAATTTTTTTCTTTAAATACAACAATTAGATGTAATTGCTCTTTTCCATTTTTTAAAGTATCGTTATGAATAGTCTGAAGGGGGCTTAAAAAATTGAGGCCGAAATAGTCGTTTTAATCTTCGTACGATACACTTTGTGGATTAATCTTTGGAATCAATTACATTTCGTTATTTCAACTTCAATGAAAAGGAATTAGCTTGGATTGTACAGGAGACTTTGTTGAGAATTCTATGAATAATGGAACGGAGATCAGCAGGAATTTTTCCCTGAATTTCAGTAGCTGTTATCTCGTAACTGGTAGTCGAAGATTGATCCGATCCATCAATTTTAATTCAACCGTTGACAAAATTAAAACGTATCTAGACAGTCGGGCATTTTATCCCGGATCGAATAAAATGCCTAAATGTATTCATAAATACATCATTTATTTTAGCACATGCATGAACTAACAACATCATAACTGAAATATTGTTGAGATTGTGATTAATTGAATCCAAATTGTTGTGTTTGTTGTCAACAATAATAGTCCGTATCGATCATTTATTCCTTTAGCCGTAATATCAACCAAACTTTGAGAAATTGTGCAAGCAATTTTTACTAAGGTTCGACAAGATATACAGCCAGAACCAGTTGTTCACCTATTCGCTAGATTATAAGCGCAACCGATATTTCGCACACGCCTGCGATAAAGACGCAGGTGTTGCCATTTCTGAACAATTGTAGGTAGTAGTAAATTTCAGACTTCAATAGGAGGGATTAGCAGGAAATCACAGAAACATTGGTGGTCCGAGGATTCGAGTATTACATTTACATATATACGATATTTTTATATATATTCAAATATACAAAAAGCTGGCTAATTTTCAAAAATTCGTAGCTTTCACAATAATGATCATTTTGGATTGAACCTTCTTTATAAAAATGAAAGAAAGACTTTTTTTTAAGAATTCGCGTTGATTTTGGTGGAAATCTAAAAAATTGTCTATAAAAAATATTTTTTACTTCGTCGGTTATAATTGAGCATATTTCGTTAAGCAATGTGTAGGAACAATTTCTATAATTTATGAGAAAACAATTCGTAAAGAAACCATTCTTTTAACCGTTTTAGTTTTTCACCTCTGGAAGGTTAATTGGGAATGACGAGTTACCTCCTCGTTTCGTATTTTCGTTTCAATTATTCCACGAAAAATCTCTCGCGTTATGTACATATAGTAGACACACCGTTATTCAACACCGAATATACATAAATGGTAGCACCATAAGTTGCAAACAATTTTGCTTTATTCTTCTTAATACTTTCTTCATTCTGTTTGTCGGATGCATTCACTTTACCCGCGCATTTTTCAGTCGAGATTGTTTTTCGTATTCTGCGGTCCATGTCGCTGGAAACTGAATAATGCCTCGGGTCAGTGATTCTCAACGAGATCCAGAGACGGGCATAATTTGATTTGAATAATAGATAACGAATAAAATCAGCGTGTAGCAATTTATTCGTCGGTTCGAGACGTTTCCTCAATTGAACGGTTCAATTCTTGTATATTAACGCATTCGCGACCGCTGACTTGAATTCACGTCACTTCAACTTTTATTCCTGTTTACGAACAAATTATGAAAATCTTTTTATTTTATGCACTACATATTTACAACATATTTTGTAATTTTTATCTTCGCTCTAACCATACAAATTCGCGATGTACAGCTTCAGAATTTTATTATATTCGTCAGTACCCGGTATTAGAAACGTAAAATATTTGACGGTCGCGAATGTGTTAAAATTTCATTCTGTGATTCGGGTTCTAATCTTTATTTATCGAGTAACGAGTAAACCGTTGTTGATGTCTTATTCATCGCGTAAAATTGATATTATGTAGATAAGAATTTTGCCCACCTTTGGTTACTTTCGACATCATATTACAAGTATTTTCAATTCAATTGTAGTGTAATTTATCGAAATTCAACCAACTAGTGTATTTATTTAACTTCGGTTAGGTTAAATAACCAGCGAAAACAAACGTGCCTGGAAGGTACGTTGAAATTCAATGAAATATTTCCGCAGCTTTGGAACACAATGAAATTGTTTTTCCATTGGCTTCGTTCACTTCAAATATAACTGAGTTTCGTTTTAATCGTGTTCTACATCCACTCTAAAAAATAACTGTAAATTTTTTGATATCGAAACCATGTAATATATTCAATATTCTTTTAATTTAAGTTCGTTACGGCCTTTATTACATTCATAGAGTCGGAGTTTGATATTTTTCCTTTGCGTGATGGAAAGGTTGAGAAACCCTGGTTCAGGTGACAACGGTTGTTCTGTTAGTTGAACAACGCGCACAGAATGAACGAGGATGAATTGTGTTCATTTCTCCCAGGCCGGTGTACCTCTCAATTATTGTCTCGAGTCGCCAATGGCGTTTAACCAATACTCTTTCCTTATCTTTGGAAGGTGAATCAATATTCGATCCCCGACTAACGAACGTAACAAGCACGAAGGTGCATTTACGATTTATGGCGTACATGACCCTTGTACAGTAAATCTTCGATCGTCCAGCAAGAACAGATAGTAAGATGCAGTCTAGGACTGGACTAGCAGAATGACTTAATATTCGAACATTTTGTAGGCATTCGAACACTACGAATAAAGTTGAAATGAAAGGTTTTTCAGAAAGGGACTTTATAATTATTATCTTTTCAACGAAGATGTCATTAGCATTTCAAATTAAATTTCGTGCAGAAACTTCATTAGAC